ACAATCCGAATGGTAAATAAGTTTCGAAAAAGAGAAATGTCACAGGTCGTATACGGTTTTTCACAATTTATCGATAAGTATTATATAGTACACGATCTGGCTTTCAAAGCTTATACATTATATACTAATAGACAACTTAAAATAAAAAAAAAATGTAAAGAGACCGGAAAATCGTCTCCATTTTAGACGTTCAAAATATTAAATACATTATGATTTACTATTGCTAATTAATGCTTAGACCTCGTCTTAGGGTTTATACCTAGGTTTATCGCATGGTTTGTATACCAATAACTGGATTGAAATAGATTTAAATTAAAATTCATTATTATTTTCTTATGACTGGAAAAAAAAATGAAACCTCATGTATTATGTACATGTTATTATAGTAAAGTATGTTTTATGATGTAAATCACTAAAATGTGATTATGAATATTCATATTATTATGTTGTGCGTGAATAATAATCAAAAAATGTGACATTTTATGAATAAACTGTGGACCGTGAATGATCGAAATAATATCACGTGTACGATTTGTCGATTTATGTAATTATTATTATAACAATATTGTACCTATATTTTTACTACACCATAAATTAAATATTGACTGAGGTTTTGTTACTGTTTTCGTATAGATAACATGTAAAATGTATTGTACCAACGGTTTAATTAAAAATATGAAGAATATTATAAAAGTGTATAAAGGTAGGTATATTCAAATCTATATACATATAATAATGTTAGTGTGTTTGTTAGTACTGGGTAAATATATCAAAGCCTTATGACCCATATAATATAGGTTCACATAATATTAGGCTTGGTTGGTTTTCCCATTGGTTTTTGTTTTGATTACGTAACACTAAAAAAGAAATTCTTTATGGAGAATACAACGTTTGCTGGGTCAGCTGGTTTGCTATAAAATTTTGTTTTGAATTATGGTGATTAGAAATAAAAAAAGTCATCTTTCATTTAAGAACACATTTTATTTTATTTTTTATATGCACATAATACGATAATAATATTGAGAATGAGTTATAACATACCAGCTTCCTACTAAGCTTACTAAAAAGTTTAGTTAATGAAATATGATGAACGATGACTATCAAAATAACTGTAGAAAAATGTCAAGTAAAATGCAAATAATAATTTAGTGGCTAATGTGTAAAATACAATACACACAATAGGGTTGATTGTATAACTACAGTGCCTAACTACTCTATGAAAAAAACAGATTTAAGTTACATGTTTAACTACATTATCGATGTTTTTCTACATACCTATATGACGCACTAAACAAAACTTTATTGTTTAATAAAGTCAACAGTACCAAATATGGTTTAATGGTGTAACAAAATGTCAAAAATATCACTCTAGGCGTTTCGTGAATGTATTTTGCACTCAAACCATAGATTTATGTAAGTATAAAAATTATTAACTATATAGCACAGGATTATGTTTCTTAATTGTGTTTAAAAATCGAATTCGTGGGACAAATTTTATACTGACGTATTTATCAAGTGGCACGACGAAATCAACATAAAAATGTGTTTAGATAGTGCCAACCTAACTATATGCTATATGCAATATGACTAAGATATTAGTTAATTCAGAGTAATTATTACTACTTAGTATAATAAGCTTCTCAAACTCAAGTTTTTTTTATAATTTATCAACCTATTCTAGAAATTGAACAAGATTTTATTTTACACCTTTGGATAGTTATGATTTTAATATTTACAAAAATATAATTAGATACTCCAAAAGCAACTAAAATTAGTTCGCGGAAATAATATATTGGTACCTATATATATTTATACCTATATTTTTTTTTTTATTAAAAACGAGAAATCCAATCTATGAAGCTCAACTGAATTGTATTATAAAAGTTGAGTAAAATAAGTCTTTATGAACAGCAAAAATTGTTTTGAAACTTCCGTAGATATCAAAAGAGCATCTCCACTTTTATAAGATTTCTTATTAAAAAGTTGAAATTGTTTGGATTCGACATTTCTATTGAAGGACACAATAACAACGAAGTCTGTATTTAAAAACACGCCAGCGTGAATATAAAATTGGACCTGGGACTAATTTAATAATTTAATATGCATTATTATTTCTATACAATCAAATAAACCACCTTTAGAGCAGCACTGCGTATTAATAATAATATTACATTATTGCGAAAACAAAGGGATAGAAAATTGGAAAAATAATCGACACGAAACAGATATGGCTACGCGCGCTTGTGCGTATTGATAGAAATAGAAAATAGTCATATATACAATATTTATATAGTGAGAGAGACAGAGATGCGTAGTGAAAGAGAGAGTGAGAGAGAGAGAATGAAAGAGAAAGAAAGATATAGATACATAGTGAAAGAGAGAGGGAGAGAGTGTGTGAGAGAGAGAGAGTAGAGATAAAGAGAGAAAGAGATTTACGTTACTATATACTGACATACTGTGTTTGTTAAATTGTAAATTCATTGAACAGGAATATAATATAATGTGTGTTTGATGAAATGAAATATCGTCTCTGAAATAAAACGTCAGATATTTTCAACGATATCTTGTAAAGCCCGTCGAGATTTATCACGCCACTGGGCTCGTTATTCGATCAAGTGGTACGTGTGTTTAAATGTTATTCGTTCAAATCGCGGTTGCCAACGACTTGTAACTAGGTTTCATGGATCGGTCGATCATATATATTGCATAAGGATAAGTCGTCAAAGACGAGAAACCGCTAACGACTGCAGTGGTCAGTGACAGTAAGACACTATAAAACCTAGTATTTTTTCAATTTATCAACCTGTTATACCTCAAAACAATTATTGATATGAAATAATCAAAATTTTATCGTTGCAACTGCGTTTAAGACATATTATTTGAATGTAAATCTATCGTGATTCGCTCAATATACGGCGTTATAGCTACATAAAATTATTATTGTCTTACAAATTAAATACGAAATACTGAAAACCAAATACATGCTTTGTATAGAATTTCTTACCTATATCAACTTAGAAATCTAGTGGAGATAATAATAGTTAAATAATTTAATATTGGAACGATCCACATTTACTTATGAACTGATTGATATTTAATAATATTTATGTAGGGATAGGTAGGCACTGTTGATCTATTATATTTAAACATTTTTGTTTTAAATATAATTTTAACTTACAATCATAAAGTCCCTATTATAAGACTCACAAAATATATACTTTTCAATTTATTGTAACCCCGGTAACTATCCCGCTTCTGTAATCCTCTGGGAATTTCCGAGAATGCCAACCCTACCCAAAGATATCTTTACAATAAAAAAAAACATCGATTAAGATTTTTAATCAATACATTTTTACCATTGATCAGGTGTGTTTTTGAGTCCTTAGTCAAGTTGTATATTATTCATAATATTGGTACTACAAGGTATTACAGTAATTTTAGTGATCGGCTGAAAATATCAACTGTGTTAATATTCATTCTTTCGTTCTTTTTACAGCTCTTCTCGCTGTTGAGGTTTTCCTTTTTTTTGTGAATATCAAGACATTTATCAAAACCGTTACTTTTGGCAAACGTTGCTCATACGAAAGTCAGTGCTGAGATTTCTGAAACCATTTTGGCACGTCCAGCCACTAGCATGTCAATATCTCCTTTTAATGTATGCCTCATCTGCCCTAAACTGGCTGCCAATATTTACCTGGGACACGTAAAGTCCTAATGCAGGTAGATTCCGTATAGTAGTAACCGTTTATTATGATAATAATTATCTTTTCCTGTACCCGTTCATGTTACCGAAAAGGAACACTGTAGTAGTAATATTAATGTAAACAGAGCCCGTATAGTAAAACATGACCCAGTCCAATAGAAATTTCTAATTTTAGTACCTTCCCTTGTCAAACTACGTCGTTGTTCTAGCAGTTTATATCCTTGAACCTCATTAAGGGCGAGCACACGTATATCCATATTTATTCTTAATTCTTATCGTATCATCTCAGCATGTATAAATATCAGTTTATTATATTTATGCAAATACCATTCAACTATGGTCACAATTATATACCAGCTGCTACTGCTATACCATAATCGACTTTGTACAATTAAATTGGAGAATAACAATATGACATTTTATGTGCAGTATATTTGAATACCGTTTTTGTTTCAGATTGTTCTCAAAACTATTATGTGAATTTCCTATAGTTAAATTATGATATTGCAATTGAATGTCGTTTTTGCATATTATTATTGCAGTCGTCATTATATTCGTAATCGAAACGCTCGATCGAAATCGCAAATAATCTGCCTAATTGATTGAAGCTATTAGACCCTGCTGCCTAAAATGCTATTAAATGTGAGACTTAAGCAAACACAATGTATTATACTATTGTTGTTTTGTGGATTTATTACCATGTTGCCATTGTCTATGTGCATATTATACAAATTAATAAATCGTCTTATATTCTAGTATGACTTGTGTTGATACAACATGTAAAGCTAACTTAAAGTAATTAAATATTCATAAACTTTCAATAAAGATCAAATAGTTCAATTTCTATATACCAATTAATTAAAAAAACATTTTGGAATTAAGGAGTATTATTGCTTTATTCATCACCTTATCAAGACTCTTCATTCTTCTTTTTATAATTTTTAATAATTTTAATAAAGATTACCACATTGAAATAATACAATTTGGAAATTCTTAACTTTTTTAAGATCTTATTCTTAAGATAATTATTCAATTATATTATTTACCTAATGAGGAACAATGACTATTATTAGTATGTTATGTTTTATTTTAAATCGATTCCGTTTCTCAAAACAAATTTTTATCTTGTTATAATATTATCTGGTTTTTAATGTAATAATATCATATTAAACAAAAAAATAATCAAATATAGTAGGTACTTAGTACTTTGAGTGCTGAGTGTTTATTAGTAGGTAGTGCAAATAATTTAACCTATCATAATTTATGCCAGAAATTAATAATAAATATGAAAACTTACCTAATTTTGGAGTTACGAAAGTATCTTTGAGTATCGCTCCGGGGGTAGGAGCGGTGACCATTCTACGATTTCCTATCAGCCCAGCAGCGCCCATGACACCCGCACAGACGGCGTCACAACGTTTTGGTCGAGGCTGCTCCACAGGAAGCACTCTTCTCCTTTTTTTTGGTAACTTTGAACGGGCCTAAAAATATGGAAACCAAATAAAAACAAATATCAAATTAAAAAATTTAAATTTTCACTTTTAATTTACTACACAAATCACAAATTATATTTAAAATTATGTCTACAATTCCATTATGTGTCAATGGATCATTGTATGTACTATGTACAATATTTTTCTCCATTTTTGACATATTATTTTACCTTGTGTGTGTGATACGAAATCATCCATATTAATATGAGTGTTTTCGTTATAATTTTTGTTTTTTTTTTAAATCCCAGTTAGTTCTTATTTACATACCTTCACGTTTTTAAGATGTCCTAAGTTATGTTTGGAACAGATTATTTATACATATCATGTTCTAAGGGTGCATAACTTAAAGAACACTCTAAGTGTATTTCCTACAAGTATAAATAACTATATAAAAATAAATCATATAATTTTCCCCTCTTGTCCATAAAAAATCTATTTGTAATACAGCTAACATTACAGACTGTATTATTTTGTATCTTGTTGTCTGTTCTTACGTCAGTCGACAATTTCTGTCGGTACTTTCAATGATTTAAGGGTGGTTTTGAGATGCTTTTAATGATTTTAAAAGCATGAGTAATAAAAAAAAAAAACATCATCTTTGTGACAATATAAGGAAAGCTTTTCTAACATACTATAGCCTATAGCGCAAAAGATTACCGAGCTCTGTTGATATGTTGGACGATCGTATTAAAAGTACAATATTAATAGTTTCTATATTTTTAAATAAAAATCACTTTATCTCGTGGTATATTGGTGTATAATAATATAATACAGATTATATATCTATCTGTATTATATTTATATTATAAAATAGAAGTCCCTTTTGTGTATGTCCTCGCTTATCTCGAAAAGTACTCTGCGGATTTTAATACTGGTTTCACTTAATGACTGACCTAGTCTCGGGGAATGTTTTAATGTATAAATATTTGTCTTGGAAAAATTAATTGGGTGTCCGAAAATAATAACAATCTATGTATATATATTTATATCCGTGTGTAACTATTCAAACTCCTCTGAAACGGTTGCACCGATTTTGATGACATTTTTTGTCTGTGCATGAGTGGGTCCTTGAATAGTTTGGATTCACAATTGGACCAGGACCAACCCGAGGAGGAGCTCAAAAAAAAAAATATTTTGGTTCTAGTTTTAATAAATAATGGTATTTAAAAGTGCCTTACTGATAATTGTTTTTATTTAGTACAAAATATAATAAAAGCAAATTGATGAAAAGTAAATTATTATGTAACTATCATGAAAGTTACCTCTAACATTATTATACTTAGGTCTATATTATATATATCTATGTATAAATAATAGATTATTGCACTGTCGTATTTAATACCTACCAACAATTTATTACATTATTTGTTTTTAAATGATAATACAATTTCGATTTGGGTACCTCAAAAAACAAGCAATATATAAAATGTAATGGTTTCGTTTAAGGTTCGGTTCTAACACCTCGTTATTTTTGAACTATAATTCCATGCTCTACCATACACCATAGCATAATCTATAGTGAATAAATCAAAATAATAACAGTCAACACACCTGTGTATGTGAGTAGAACATGGAGAAGTTCGACACGATGACAGGAACGGGGAGTGCGATGGTCAGCACGCCGGCCAAAGCGCACAGAGCACCGACAAACATGCCCATGTACGTCTTGGGCGCCATGTCACCGTATCCGACCGTGGTCATGGTTACGATCGCCCACCACAATCCTTCCGGTATGCTTTTGAAGTCGTTCTGCGGATTGGCCTGCCAAATGGGATGGGAGAGGATTAGTATTGTATGCAATTTACTAATCCTGTTCTCGTAACAATGATTTAGTAATATGATCGACGATGTGATCGACCAGTCGACGTTTACCTGCAATCGTTCGGCGTAGTACACCAGGCTGGCGAAAACGACGATTCCCAACACCAAGAAGAACACGAGCAGAGTGAGCTCCTTTGCGGAAGCCTTGAATGTGTGTATGAGTATTTTCAGCCCGGGCGAGTGTCTGGTAAGTTTGAACAACCTCAGAATACGAATGATCGAAAAAAATTCTAGGATTTCGGTGTTGTCGAAACGGTGAGCCAGAGTGCTTTGCAGCATGGTGTCCGTGTAGAAGCTAAGCGTAGCTACGAAGTCGATGATGTTGACAGGAGACTTGGCGAAGTGCACGAGGTTAGGGGTTACCTGCGAGATAGCGAATGGCCACAGCTGAATAAGTGATTTCAACAACTCTGGATATATTTTATTTTTTATTTATTTTTTAGAACCAAATACATAAATTCTAAAACCAATGATTTACTACATACTATTATTATTACGATCTAGGATAAATATACGTAGCAATTTGGTCATGGTCATTTGGAAGTAATAAAATAAATAAATAAATATAAATATAAGTAACAAAAAATTTCAAAAATGTAAACACGACATCAAACAAATGCTATTTATTTATTATAATACACCAAAAATAGATCAGTAAAGCATTAAAAGTATTTATTAAAAGCCATAAAGTATTTCATCCATATTTCTATATTTTATATTGACCGTTTTGTATCAAAAATCAAAGAAGATGTGAATTAAAATAAATAAATCACACTTCGTAAATAAATGCTAAATAATATCATCGTTAGTATTTAATAAAAAATGTATGAATATTTAAATTTATAATTAATTTTTTTAACCTAATGCTTTAAATGTTATTGAGTACAATTATTTATGTTATAGACATAACAGTTATATGACACAGTTTAGGTTTAAACAAATATATCAAATTATATTTTATAAATTACGAAAGTACATTGTCGGTCTTTAGTGTGTTTGTGATTGTATTAGCCTAATCCTATTCCACTTGTATTATATCCACAATCGTGAACTGCGTGAAACCCGTTTATTCTGTTTATATTATTCCACTTTTAAAAGTAATAAGATATTTTGTGTGAAACGACGTGAGGACGCGCTTTTATCAACGGCTCTATCGCGTGTACTTAGGGATTATTTTCGTATTTTATTGAAGTTTTCCGTGGACGCTGTTTAATAACAAAATTATAAGCCCTCTGGGACTCTAAAAATATTATCTACATCGTAAAACGGTCAACAAGGAAAAAGACGCGTTTAATAAGCCATAAAAATAAATGGATCTTAAACCGCGTCCACAAGAGCTTCGCAATAATAATAGTCCTCGTTGGCAGTGGCTGAGAAAAAAATAATATTAAAATATAATATACGAGTGTCCAAGCTTCGACCTTTATTATGCAGGACGAGCAATTGGTCGCGGACGGTCATTAACGTCTTTTTGTTTTTTTTACAGTATTTTTTATCGTGACCAAAGTCCAACAGTGGACAGCCACGTTGAAATCTAGCCAAAAACAATACTCCACGTCTTTAACAGGCGTTACTGGTTTTGAACTTTATCAGTTGAAAATCGTTCGAAATAAATATTTTCACAACACCGTTTTTTCAGTGGTGTTTTGGGAACGTTAATCAGACCGATCATTTTTTCCGATTCTATGAGTAGAATGTGGTTTTTCGGAGTCTAAAATATGATTATCGTATTTGGTTTTTTTGGTTCACGGTGTCTATTCGCGTATTTCAACAAATGACTTTTATATCTTAAAATAATTACCTAAGTTCAAAAGTAAACATTTCATAGTATCCCTACTATAGCATTATGATGTATATATATATTAATATTGTTGAAGTTTAGCTATAGATTAGATAACTAAGCCAAATTCGATTCTATTTTTTTTTTTTTAGTAGTTTCGTAATAAACGGAAGTGAAATAATAGTGTACAAAACCTTTGAATAATAAAATATGCAGCGCAGGCTAATAATATAGTATTCGTCGGCAGTCGTGTTGCCAGTAAATTATTACGATTATTCGTGGGATGAATTTATTTCATGCTAAATTTCCTTGAGGTATAATAGATTTATTATAGAACGATTGTTTATATGTTTACCTGTATCATATTTTACGATAAAATTGGTGAATGGAATAATGTTGTTATTGACTATTGACGGGTAGAAAGTGAAAGTAAAAATCAAACGAACCAAATGAACGAAATTTGCAATTTCAAAGTTCAAGGTTGTCGAAAATCAAGTTAAGTCCTCTAACTATTCAGTCGACTATTGATAATAAATCCGCTTTTGTTGCAATTGAGACGTTCGCCCACCGCAGTATTATTAAAACAGTAAAACACTATTATATCGCCTGCCATTTCAACGATTTAAGGATTTGAACCATTTCTGCTGGTATGGATCCTAATTCCTAACATCGGTGTTGTAGACGACAGATTATAGTACGATTCGATTCAACCAATCATTGTGTCCATATTTAGCAATTTTGGTAAGTAATATTAATTATTTTCTAAAAACTATTTGTTTATTTAAATTGTATAATTGGGATGTTAAATTCAATATAACACAAAGATCATCCAATTATTTACCGTACATTTTTTAAATTACGTGAATTATGTAGATCACTATTGTTGTGTCACTTTTATAGTATCTTTAAGGGGATTCCGCACTACCACTTTTTAGAGTAAAATAGACCTATACGCGTTCCAACGTACTAACTTGAATTTTACTCCTATAATAATTTTGAAACATATTTGAATTTATTATGAAGTCTATTTTGAATCTTTTAAATCAGAATAATAATAACAAAATTTTTAACTATTTATGTCCATTCAAATTTTTAAGAATAAGCGTTTTTTTTTCTAAATTTCAAGTGAGGTTTTTTCTTTTTAAGAATAATAAATTAAAAATGTGGCTCGAAGGATCCAAAGTTGATTGAACAACAAAACAAAATTTGTTTTAAAAATTATTATCGGTGTAAAACTCAAGTCGGAATGTTGGAAATCGTTTAGGTCTATGATTTACAACATTTCGCCATGAAATAAATTTATTGTTAGGCAAAATGTGACATGTGCATGCGAGTGCGAGTGCGCAACGCTTATCTAGCTCGCCGTCGGTCACTCACACTAATGATCATTTACTACAAGCACACATGCACGCACGCACGTACTATACAGATTGTCTAAAAATTGCCTATACTCAACTTCTTAAAAACGGTCGGTATGGAATCCCCTTAAATCGGTTTAGTTTTAGATTTTAATTTGGTGATAAACAACACGACAATTTGTAATACAGTCGAACGTGGTGAACTCAAACTTCTTCTAACTCAAAAACGTCGCTACCTCGAACTTTTTCCCCGGTCCCTGGAATTTCTTTTAATTGTATAATCCTTGGATAACTCAAATTTCAAGCACTCGAATTGAACTCAAATCTTCTGGCCGGTCCCCTAACTTCATGTTAACCACGCTCTACTGTATCTTGTATTCTTGCGTGAAAGGTAATAATCGTTATACAATAGGGTTAGGATTAAAATGATTTATACATTTGTTTCCTCATTCTTAGGTACGCATGTATATTAGTACTTACGATAGATCTAGCTAGGAGTTCGAATGTGAACCAAACGTTACAAACGAGTTCCACGTAGAAAAAAGCCTCATGAGGATCAGTCCGGTCCTTGCTGAGTACCCATTCCATCGGAGGGTCCTCACCCGGGGCTGGCGGCCGATCCTTGGGCACGGTCACGTTCCTCAGTGTGGCCACTCGTAAGTCAGGATGAGTTTTCAACGCAAACGACAGTACGGACACACATATAAAAAACACCGATATGACAGCGACCACCTGTAGAATATAAAAATAAATAAAATATCAAGTATACAAATTATTGCAAATTTTACAATGTACTATTACATGCATAATACCTTTACGGCTTTACGTATCGTATGTGATAACAGGGCGTATAGTGATTACTTAAAATATAATAATTTGTGTGTTGCAAAGCATATTTCGTTCTAAAATATGTATTATTGGCTAATAATGTGTTCGAAATTATTGAGTACGGCAATGAAAAATAGTTCGTTTTTAATCTGTTGAACAGTTTGTCGGTTTGATGGCGTAGAATAAATTCTTGTTTATAATTATCTTATTATTGTTTTCACGGCATGTAGGTACTTATAATATAAATATTATCAGTTTAATGTTGCCTCTTTTAAAAAGTTTTCATTATTATTTTATTAAAATAATAATGGTGTGTTCACAAAATATTGAACAGAGCCAATTGGTCTAGTAATAATATCTATATTCTTATATAATATGTAATATATATAAAAACATTGACAAACTCAATTTAGTTTATATTTATTTGATTTATACTTAAACGCTTATTTTAATTTTTTTTTATCTATGCTAAACGTTTTTAAAAATAATGCTAAAACTTTATTTTACTAATCGTTTTATGTCATTCTCACTATAATAGTGTACTCAACGCAAATATTTGTATAATAGTATGTGTTGAATTACATTTTTTATCTTTTTTATTAGAATAAATTAATTGATTTATTAAGCTATTTGGTACCTACTTAAAATTAAAATGTTATTATTGTTTTAAACATAAATAATTAGGTAGCGGTACTAAGGTAACAGTATAATAGTTTTAAACATTAACTTTTACTGTGGTTTTCTCTGTAAAGCTAGTAAGAGCGCGGCTGTTTTATAACTTTTTAATTGTATTTATTTATACTACAGATAAAATATTATCTTTTAATCCCACAAAATTCATGATTATTTGTTTTTGATTATTTTGAAGATAGTGAAATATCACAGTTTAGACCACTCATCATCGATAACTTTGGCCACAAATTGTAGATTGAGGCTAGAAATATCAAGTCACCATTAAATCTAATCTGATGTAGGTATAAAATAGAACCCAATTCTAAGATAAATGTTTTATATATACTATCGAAAAACGTAATATTCAATGAATAATCATAAGCATAACGTATAGAGTATATTAAATAATAACTACGTAGGTTTCATAAGGGTTTCGTAAATTAACAAATTTTTAAATTCATAAAATATCTGTATAGTACATTATATTTTTATATATTAACAATATTGTCTATGCAGTATGCATAAAAAAATTCGCTATAATAAGTGGTTTTATAATAATATTGTAGAATCATTTATCTTCAATGTTGCACGAACCATTACAAATTACAATCATAACTTTTCAGTAATGTTAGTTTTTATTTTGAAATAACAATAATAATTTTAATACATTTTAATAATATGCAAATTTGGTTAAAATCAATGTAGTGAAATTGAAATAACCCGTTTAAATTAGGTTTTAAAATCTTGGTTTCTAATTAGGTGTACACAAAATTAGATTTAGTGATTGCAAGAAATTTAAATTAGTTTTTCTCTCTATAATTAAAGTTATGTACACTAATACAAAATATACATTTGTAATGAGATGATATTATATTAAAAAAAGTCGCATGGGAATAATAACAAAATAATATTAATATTAATTTAAAAATAAATGCATTCAACTAGTATATGATATTTATTTTGGATCCAAAACATAATGCTGATACTCAAGAACAAATAAACTATATAAATAATATTACTATAAAGTATATTAAATTTTTTGTGTAAACATTTGAAAGTATTGAAAAAGTGTGTTTTACATTACTTGTATTATGTTTAGTAAGATAATAACAATATGTACTTTGTTCTATCAACGATATGCCGTATACATTGTTAATATAATATAATATATGGATGGTTTAGTTATTCAATTTCAACTAAACTTATTATTGCTATATTAAGAGATTTATTTTTACATACATATAAATATTTAATTAAAAAAATTAAAAAATTTCTTTTAAAAAACACTTTTCTAAAAAACAAAAAAATAATGAAAAATTTAAAAGTGTGTGGTATAATATGTCAAGTGTAAGAGCGCCACACACTTTTAAATTTTTCATTATTTTTTTGTTTTTTAGAAAAGTGTTTTTTAAAAGAAATTTTTTAATTTTTTATTTTCTACTTTTTAGTTAAAAAATTTTTTTTACGGATTATTGTATTGTCATCCAAGACCAAGGTCTATACCAATTTTCAGAATTTTTCATCTTCAAAAAGTGCCTCAAATCGAGCGCGCAAGATTTGATCACAGACAGACGTGAAACCAAACTTAAGAAAAGTGTTAAAAAGTACATAATATTAATAATACATTCTACAGTGAAGTTAAATATTTGAATCGTTATAATATTATACATTTATTTAATCGCATAATACTTTATAATATCGTATTATAATTTATTGATTTTTTATTTAACGTTTAATAATTTTAATAATTTATTTATATTTTATGATACCTAGTTTACTTCAGCGAGATCGGAATAATGAATTGCTTAAGTACACGTAATCAATGTATAAAATACTGATTTGTCTACATCAATTTAACTATAGAAAATATTACAGACAGAGTTGTCTACTACCAACTACTACAGATGGTCTCCAATTCAAATACTATACCTAAACGATAAGACCAACATGGTAATACACTAACACCATACAACAATATTGTTCTAAGGTAATAATTAGATAATAGGTCCAGAATTATATGGAATATGTTGATTCATTGAATCTATGAAACTTAAAGAAAAGCTTCAAATAACCACTCAAAGTTAAAATATGTCCCTACCCTCGTCCATAGTTGATATTATTCCGAATGATATTGATTACGCGTATTTCAAGGATTACCTTTTCTCTCTCAAGTACGGTTGTGGTAATCATTGTAAAACATGAGTTTTATGTAATAGAAAATACGGAAACTGGTCACCAGATTACCTACTTATATAAACAACTATATTGTGGGTATGATCAAAAGGGATTTATCGTAATGTTTAAAAATAATGGACGTAAATTATTTGAATTTTTATATTTAATTACTAATTAGCATGCACTCTTATAAGACAATTTCACAAAAATAATTCACTCATAACTGTGTAAAGAAATAAAAAAAAAAAATTAACTTTGTTTAAACGTCAATATAAATACGTAACTTGAATTTCAATTGTTAATTACGAAACCAATTAATTGCTAAAACATCAAGTCCAAGAGAAGTGCTAACGCTGCCGCCAGCTATTGAGACAAACATTTCAGGTAGACTCAAACCACGATTAGAGAATAAAGAAATTATTATTGGCTAAAATTAGCAAATTATACTTCAAACAAATAATAACCTTCAATTAAATTATTGTACTATATTACTTTTTTAAAAATGAAAAAATGCACAATTTCCATGCACCCAAGCAAGCGCTCGGCATTATAGGTATCGCCCGATTACTATTAATAATATTGTATTTTGATTATACTATTTTTGTATATACATAAGGATTGCGATAAATAAAAAGGTGCTGATTTCAAATGTTCACATCATATACATAATATATTATATTTGAAAACTAAATTTTTATTCTACCAAGGAATATAAATTATTTAGTTGAACTAAATAATATGCATTACAATTTATATTAATTAATTACCTATGTATAATATTATATAAAATAAATTAGTGTTTTTTTTTTATATATAATAATATACGAATAAGTTTTAATAGAGAAAAAACAGCATATATACATTTGTTTACTCACATGACTGTGAACGGAACATAACAATTGTTGTTTAAAAAACATTTCTTTTGGCGCGAAAAAAAATTGTCCGACATAGTTGAAATGGTCAACACTTATCCGGGTCGTAATTAATATTAAAACACCTTTGTTCCACGCGCACGAAGCAAAAAATCCATGGAAATCCACCAGATTTAAACACCAATTATTCACGAACCGTGTTTTTGTGTTTGAATATTAAATATTTTTTCGGCTTAAATAGTTTACCACCGGATTAAACCGTGAATAAATTATTACCATGCATTTCAATGTGATGTATTATGCATCGGTACAATATGAAACATAAATCCAAACTTTATTTTTAAGACGGCCAATCGTTGGCCAAGTAGTGCATGCAACGGTGTTAGGATATGATATTTTAGCGATATTATTATAATATATTATGATTTAGCTGGCAGCGATAATTGCAATATAAACGTCGACTCTGAGTCTTTCGTGGATCAAAGAATGACCACTGAGGCACAGCAAACGTGGTAGCTCACCTTGTGTATGCGCAAACATAAATCCACCGCACCTCAAATTTCAATAAAAAATATTAACGTGACTACAACGAAACCAGGCTACAATTTAAGATTAGCTTACAGACGAATTTTTCAGGTGCATATTGATTTGTAACTCAAGCATATATAAAAAAAAAATATTATACAATGTTGTAGTTAAAATGTTTATGCCGAACTATTTTTAATTTATATACTACATATCTTGTATACTAACGCATTAATAGAATTAATAATAGCATAACAGTCATTGACTTAAAATTATATTTGCTAGATATTTTTAGGTTTGCAATTAATTTAATACTGGATATATTTTTTTTTATATGTTATTACATTTTAGACTCTGAGCCGAATGATGAGCGATGCATTTTACAATGATATGCGTTTTTTTTATGTCTGTCATCACTGTTTTGAGTAATCTCGATCCTTTATATTATCTTTAACTTTGAGGGTGGTTCAAGGTAGAAAATTGATTTTAGTATCCCTCCAGGGAGCCAAAAATAGAAAATACATAATAGCTTTCAAAATAATCCAGAAAAACTAAAAAAAAAAAATTATATGGAAAAAGGGGAATATTTATGAATCAACAATTGTTCGACAGAGTCGATTATGCTACTAATTAGTTGTAATTCAAAAATGAATGACGCAG